GCCAAAACTAACATCGAGAACACGATCTTGTAGATCAGCTTAAAAAGATTTTTCTTTGCTTAGTAATTGTTGGTTCAACAGGCGTGTTCGTTAAAAGAAAACACCCTTTCGATTCTCAGACACATGATTTCGCACGATTGACAAAACAGAATCGAAAATTTTTATATTCTAAGACCATAACTGTTACTTCCTGTAACAAGTTCGTTGATCCACTACAGTAACTTCAAACTGGTATGCTCAGTAAAACAGTTAATTCAACAGCAGTAAGAAATGAAAGTTCAAGAAATTATCATTAACAATTAGTTACTGAGTTATAGAGACTCATTTATTAGTTGTAAGAATTTTAAACACTTTACAGCTTTTATTTTTTTCAGCAAAAATTTTGTTTTACAACCGCTTTTTTCGTTACAGAAAAGCTCAAGGCTTCGAAACTTGAACTGGCCCTTACTACGTGCGCCGTCCTCAAGACTGGCTAACTTTTCTAAGAGTTACAGAAAGCTGTAACTTAAAAGTTAGCGCGCGTAGACAGAGAAAAGTTACAGAAAGGCAGTCTCGAGGACTGCGCAGGTAGTAAGGACCAGTTCAACTTTCCAAGGCTTGAGCTTTTCTGTAATGCAAAAAGTTGTAAAACCGAACTTTACAGCTTATTTTCGTAAGTCAATTTTCATTGATAATAATGTACGTACACTATGTAGTATAGCGTTTGTAACTGTAACAGCTCCTTGTTGAATTTAGAGATAAACTAATAGTTCAACAATCAATTACTAAGCAAAGAAAAATCTTTTTAAGCTGATCTACAAGATCGTGTTCTCGATGTTAGTTTTGGCTAAAAACTGTAACAGCGACCAAAATTAGACTAATCCATCATTTCATCACTATTTTTAAGCCATAGCCAAGCCTCCATCAATTGAGAGAGACACATAGGTTGAGTCAATTTTTCACCAAGGACTCAAAATCACATCGTTTCTGATTAAGAAAATAACAATAATGTGTAAACATTTTAAAAAATAAACAACATTCAAAGCACCGTTTGACACTGTTTCGATTGTGCTTCATCAATTTCTTCTTTCAATTGAAGATCGACATATTGATAATCTTTGTCTGTTTCATTCCATTTATATCTTGCACTAAGTTTTCTATCTGGTACCCATTTCAGTGCTTTATACCAATTATTTTTTGTATGTTTTAATGTCATCAAAATGTTGTACACTTGATCTAATGTTAAATCTTTATAACATGTTGGATGAAATCTATAACAGAAATTGACAACAAATATGGTGAATATGTTAAGAGTAAATATTAATTACTTTAAATATCTGTCTAATGGAAAACGAGTCGTTCGAATTTGTTCACGTTGAGCTTTTTCTAATGTATCTTTTCCAGCTGAAAAAGTACAACAACAACATAAATGAAATTAGTTTTATAATGTATTTTTTTACATACATTTGTCAAATATTCCACCAATAATATAAATAGCATCATGATCATATTCTACCATATCATTATTGGCATCGGGTGTTAAATAAATAAATTTTTCTTTTGGAAAATAATCCAGATATGATTTAGACGTTACTTCGAAGGATAAATTATCCATAGGATTAAATTCAATTAGAGTTTGAGAATGAAACCTTTTTAAATCGAATTGAACATTACATAAATAAACGAAAGATGGTGAATGATATCTAGACATTAACGATAAAACAACAACAACAATAACATACAATTGTCAATTTCTACTTACCTACTAATATTATTGAAACATTGATAAACTTTCTTCAACAAATCATAGTGATAACTTTGTCGAACATGTAATTTTTCAAATGAACAATCGATAAATACATAATCTTGTAATCGTGCAGACATGGCTAATCTTGTTAAATCATTTATTTTAAAGTGTTTCTGAGTGACATGACGAAAAATGGTATGATGACCGGGATAATTTGTAATAGCTCGAATACCTTGAATCAGCAAACTTTCACGATATTTCATCATTCCTTGACGACGTGCCGCTTTTTGCGCTTGAATTGAGGCATGTTTCAAACGTTTTTGTTCACGGTCATGTAAAAATCTAAATGTTCCCAAAAGTGACAAAATAAGACTAACTGAACATTTAACTTAACTTACTCATACGAGTCCTTTCTAATATCCAACGGTTTATCATATAGTTTTAAACAATAATGTCGTGTAATCACGTTTGGAACAAGATAACCGGCATCTCGTAATACATCAATTTCAATCTGTACAGCACGATATTTCTCGTCGTCGGGTAATTCATCGATAGACTGCCATACATATTTTGATAATGTTTGACTAACGATATTCAAAGCTTTTGATTTAGATACGCCACGAATTGTATGATGCAGAGAACGTAAACAAGAATTAGAACAACATGGTCTTTTCTGAGTAGTAAGCGATTTGAGAATGAGTAAACGAAACATCTAAAATGACGAGCAGAATTTAATTCATAGATTTCCAATAGAATTCGAACACTTTGTCATGAAGGAAAAAACATTACTCTTTTCAAACAGATGGCGAACAATCGAACGCAAGGAGAAGTATATGCATCTCACTTGACACAATGATCATTTTTCGAATAGCAGATGAATTTCAGAATTTTTTGCTCATAAATTACTTTTTCATCAATAATTATCATTTCTTAGTCATCTCTGATGCTTTTAAAGAAAAAATAAACATTTTCAGAAAAAATCATTTCTTTCGAAAAATCGATCTTGTTAGTTCATGGATAAAGATTTTCACGGATATGTTTTCGATTGAAAACTTATTGTGTTACACATGATTTGATGTAACTCGACATGTTGATTACGAATATAACCTTGTATTTTCTTAAAAATGATTATGGTCTGAGAAAAATAGATTTTACATGAAAAACCTATAGCAAGAATAGTTGCATTTCACCATAGACGCAGATCATGTTGGTAAATACTTTGGTATAATTTAGAGCGCAATTAAACCATAGATATATGTGGATACCTCGTTGCATTGAAAGTGTCTTTTTTAGAAATAGACTTAGTTTTGGAAAATAATTTTTTTTTAGATCGTAGGTCAAAATCTTAAAAAGTTTTCTGATCCATACATAGCTAAAACTGTCTAGATTAAGAAGATGTGGTACTTACAGATTATAACCGACTTAGTTCAATAAAAATGATTTTTGTGAGATCGCTGATATCTGCGCTGTTTTTTGTACTTAAGGTTTACTCGAAATTGAGCACTTGAAACAAAAAATTTTACACTAATTGATAGCGCGCGAATTGTACTGTGTATCACGCTATTTAAATCTCGAGCGTACTTTCGATTTTTTATCAGATACCCGGCTGGATCAGCGTTTTAATGATTAGTGGGACAAGCGAAGGCAAAATGGATTTCCACTTTGTATAATGAATTTCCATTCTGTTTTCCACGCTGAGAAAAGCATATCCCAGTTTGTTTTCCACTTTGCATTTGAGAATTTCCTCTTTGTCTTTTTTTCATATTTTCTGCCCGAGAAAAGTAACCTATTGATAACTGTTTGTTGAACAAATGTGAGCGAGAGAAGTAGTATAATTTCTCTTTAATCCTCTAGTTTTTACCAGGATTCGACATCGCTAGTATCTGACGATTAAGATGAACAGGATATTAACACTTGACGGACGGGAAACGTATTTCTACGTGTGTGTTGTGCTGTACGTACAAAATATACCCGTCGGTTAAGTGTTAAGAAGAAAAAAATCTCTTCTAGCCCCCTATTGGACAAAAATTTCAACTGTTCCCATTTTATCCACTTTACGTGTCGTATCAAAGTGGAAAAACCCACTTTGATGCTAATAGCAATGTGGAAAGTTCCACTATGGAAAAAATTTCTATTAAAAACACTGGCCTGGATGCCCACTGTGTTCGACTTGTTCACCTTCAAATTCTGATACATTGTGTTTCTTTTCTTTGCAGCGTTTATTTGTTCAATGTAATAAATCCTCCTTAAACTAATAAAGTTTTGTTTTTAAAATAATAAGTCGCTCTATCAGATGTGGATTAATAGTCAGAACTACTTTTGTTCCTGCTTTTGGAAATTATTTCGATGTGTTCTTTATAATTCTCGACAAAGGAGAACGAGCATTTTTTTTTCCATCAGAAGAAAACGTGTTTCAACAGCCTTCTGCTTTCTATCTGCAGCCATGTTCCTGAGAGCAAATGTCTCGTTCAGTCTAAATTTTAAACATACAATATGCAAAGAATATCGGAAAGGAAATCGATATGTCATTTTCGTCAAGAATTTTCTGACATGTTCTTCTATGGTTTTTCTGAAGACGTCGATTTTCATTCAGTTACATTACGCGTCATGAATCGTCGGGGTCGAGCCTAAATTTTAATCCCAACGATACTTCAAATTCTAAATTTTTTTTTGAAAAATTCTGATAGGGTAGCAGTTTCGATCAATCAAAAGTTCACTGTTGTCCTCTTAGAGTAATCACATCTAATTAAGTTTCGATATACAGCAGTTAGATGGCGTTATGCCCAGCAGCCTAGCCGAAAGTCGTATAATATTCACGGGAAGGATAGGACTTTGCTCGAATTTCCAGCAAAATATTCTCCGCAAGAAAAATCAGCATTTGGATATTAAGGATGAGCAGCATGTGTAACAGCATGTTACCGTATAGTAGCAAATCATATGATCCTTTTTGTTAAAGAATCTGTCTAAAAAAACTTGATCAAGATTTGTAACTGATTCTGAGAAAATAAACAGTCGATTTGTAGTATTATCAATATAAACGACATGTTCTACTGTGATCTGACATGGAAGACTCCGACTGCAAAATGCCCAAACGACCGTTTTTATTTTTTGCTCTACTATTGCCATCAAAATGTATCCAAAAATGAATCCAAAAATGGGAGTAAGGTCTCCATTAATAAGTCCCTGACTTTCCGAACTCGTGGTGAAGTATAAATAATTGATGAGCATCACTCATTAAGTTTGCCTAAACGTTACATTCGCTGTAATTTTCTCAGACGTAGGCGGAAAAAAATAGAAATAAGTCATCTAAGCCGGTTAAGAAAGCTTCTTCAAAGAGCACATTTAATATCAGTTTTCGGAGAAAGCAGCACTTTAGTATTCGAAAAAACCAAAATCGGAGTAAATCATCCCTCAGGTTTCTCCGAAATTCGGAGTAAATCGTTCTTATCTTTTCTCAAAGTTGGAAGTAAATCGTTGATATTTTTTAAAAAAGTATGGTGGGGTCTAATAATCAATAAAAAACGAAATCCAACAAAGGACAAGTCTGGATAAGTGGATTTTTCATCCCAAAGAATTTTCGAGAATTCAGCATCGAAAACTGAACAAAACGGCCAGTTCAGTTTTTCTAAAAAACTACTTTCAATTTTTTCGAAAGATTTGAGGACTGAAGTGGACCTCAGGAACATCGAAAAACATTTTCCCTTAGAAATGGATGAAAAACACATCACTAGAATCAGAATTCAATGCTGATTCCAAATATGTCCTTGATTTTACTTACAAGCGTCAAGGAAAATGAAAACTCAATGATATTTTAAAAGAAGTATTCTTGACCCCTTTCAGTTTTGAACCATCAGCTGACTTTCAAGTGAGGTCTGGAACCTCGAAAAACACTCAGGAGTGTGTAGAATTATTCACTCTATCCAAAACATGTCAAATAAATTTCAAAATAATTACTCTTGCATCAAGCTTTGGCTAAAAACTGTAAAAACGACCAAAATTAGACTAATCCATCATTTCATCACTATTTTTAAGCCATAGCCAAGCCTCCATCAATTGAGAGAGACACATAGGTCGAGTCAATTTTTCACGCTGCTTTCAAATCTGGTCTCAAAAAATAAAAAAAGTTGCGGACGCTTGAAGACTCGGTTTTCATTGTCAGCTCACAGCTACAGAAATAAAAAGAAACTAATTTAAAATGATTAATTTGGAATCAGCGTTGAATTCTGATTCTAGTAATGTGTTTTTCATCCATTTCTAAGGGAAAATGTTTTTCGATGTTCCTGAGGTCCACCTTAGCCCTAAAGTTTTTCGAAAAAATTGAAAGTAGTTTTTTTGGAAAAACTGAACTGGCCGTTTTGTTCAGTTTCCGATATTGATTACAGCCATGTAGTTGTATTCTCGAAAATTCTTTGGGATGAAAAATCCACTTATCCCGACTTGTCTTTTATGCCAAATCAACGTAAACGGCTACACCCCTAATCTGGTGGAGTAGATTTTCGTAGTGACAAACGGCAAAATGGGGGGACTATCCTCCTTATGGAGGGAGGGTACTTTTGGTGACCCTCTTTCAGACAGATGGAAGAACGGAACGGAATGTGAGAGATGAGAAAATGAAGAAGAACACGTTCAAATCATTTAATTTTTGTATTTTTATTGAAATGCTATAGAACATATTCCACGAAACGTCAAAATAGTACAGAATACATTTCAATACACCCATCTTCACTTCCCGATGATTTCGCCATATGTGATAGTTAAACGGTTTGAACTAGAGTTGTAACCGGTCTAAAAATAAGAGGCAGGACCGGGTCGGCCGGTCCAAAACAGCGGAATGGACCGGACCTGCGGGCCACCGGTCGGTCCAAAAATCGGTTTAGACTGATGAAAAACCGACAAAAGACCTGCCGGTTTTGAAAAAATGCTTAGACCGGCGAAAAAACAGCAGAAAGCCGGCCGGTTTTCAAAGATTTTCTAGACAGACAAGAGGGGAGAAAAACTCACTTTTTCAGTGAAGAAGAGATAATTTCTAAGAATTTCAAAACCGGCAAATACTGGCCAATCACCGGTCGGTCTGAAAATCTTTCTAGACCGGCAAAAGACTGGTAGAGACCGGCCGGTCTGCACTCTTACACCTGAACGAATCGGCACCGGACCGCGCCGGCCGGTCTGCCGGTTCGGTTACAACTCTGATTTGAACTCTACTCGTATAGACTGTGTGTATTGCATAGACTGAACGCAAAAAAATAATACCAAGATCAGAGATATCAGATCCAAAACGTAAAAATAAGAAAAGGAAATTCCAAAATCAGAAAATGATAAGAAAAATAATTTCAAAAGCAGAAAAACGCCAGTGCTCTGGCACAAAAAGCTGAAATGAGGCAGAAAAAGATTCGAAAATTAGAATTTTTCTGCCAGAATCAGACGACCTGGGATCCATGACCGAGATGTGACGACTTTGTCAGGAGATGAAGATGGCTCATTATAATGGAAAAGATGGAGAACACATATTCCCAAAAGTGCGGTACACTTTTTAAGATAATCACGCGGTTCCCAAAGTGTGAAAAGCGTTCTTCATCGTTCCATATGAAAATACGTTCCGCTTTTCTGAAAGAGCGTGATTATCTTAAAAAAATCGTACCACACTTTTGGGACTACGTTGACTTCCATTCTTTTGCGAAATATTTTCACATGGAGAGTTAAGCTGCAAAAAAAGGTCTCTAGTTAGTTTGAAATAATATCTGTTAGATGGTTGAGTATAATAGAAATATGTGTATCAATGAATTTGTAAATTCATTTTAATTCAATTTATTTTTAAAAACGTAAACCTTTTTGCGTGAGTAATAATGAAATCAAACAATATAAAGAGGCGGTGAAATTTAAAAGTAGTTGCAGATTAAGGGCATCTTTTGGTGTGCGAAGATCACTTTCTCCAACATCAAGAATTAGTAAAATTAAAAGCCCGTTTGAGTTTTTAATCAATCTAACTTCATTTCGCATCAAACATCTGATGGAACAATGATGACAGTGAGGAATGTCAGTTTCTGATAGTTAAAGCAGCCAGTTTTACCAGTAAATATCAAGAAAATATGTTACATCTCAAAACATTCTTAATTCAAATGAGCCGATTGGCCGTTTTGATCAATGGTATGGACTCCGTTCTCGTTGAAGCTGCTTTAGTTAACCCTTTGAGTACCATTGCTCGACCGTGATAGCTAATTTTGTGTGGTCATAGCTCTTACCGAATGCTGATCACCCACCAAGTTTGAGCCTCTTTTACTAGATGGTTCGTGAGATGTAAGCGTTTCATTCCTTTTCCGTAAAATGCTAATAATTCCTGATCCAAGAGAGATGAAAGCTTTCCCTTTTATCACAATGCAGCATTGTCTCTTCTCTATCTATGATATAAATTTGAATGTATTAGCTCTTAATAGTTACTAAAATCGAAGGTGACTTTTGAAGTTTGAAACGCTCTTGCAAAAAAATCATAACTCAACCTAGAAATATTATTTTCACTTCAGAATTGCACCAGATACTCTAATGATTTAAGATATTCATTGAAAATGAGCATCCACTATTGAAACATACATAGGTAGGCAAGGGTGAGGAACCAAGGGTCGTCCATTCTACCATATCTTCTGTGGTTAATGTTTGTCATAATCGTGTAAAAATATAGTAATGGAAAATTAGGAAGAAAATATCAATAGGTAAAATATTGTCAAGAAGACGTCACATTCAACCTAATCCCCGCATATTTCATTTATTTTTCGTCTTTTTCACTTCTCATATACTTGCAAGCAAAGCTAATAATATACTAGAGATCAGCAGACAAAACTGTATCGTCGCATCTCGATATCGCGAGTTATTCGGAAATTAAGAAATTTAAAAAAACCGTTCTAAATTCGGGACGCTGGTAAACAAAACAAGTAAGATCTAACAATAAGAAAGTTAGATCTGAAATAGTTACTGCAATGTTTCTATTATTTTAGAAGTTGATTTTGAATTTTTCTCACTAAAATATCAAAATGAACAGCATCCATCACTCATTGATCATCCCTAAATCTTTTCTTGATTGACTTCTAATTTTTTATTTCATTACTCGTAGACATGAATAAAACATCAATCTAAAGGGAGAGGAAAAAGGAGAAAATAATTTATGTTCAAGGTACATGTATGACACAATTCGACATATTGGAAAATGAAAAAATATATAAAATGAATATAATGAATTTGTGACAAGTTCTGATATGGCATTTGACAAAATATTAATGACATCTCTCTCTCTCTCTCTCTCTTGATTTGTTCACTAGAAACAAAATGCACACTTCACTAAAAAGTCCCAACATCTGCAAAATATTGTAGACAAATAAAACGAAAAGAAAAAAAAATTTAAACAATAAATGCTTTTTACTAATTGAAGATTACAATGAATCAAAATTAAACACGATGTTATATCTCCAGTATTCTTTTGTTCAAACAGAAAGATCATTTATGTTCTGATAAATCGATTAGAACCTCTACTGTTAGAATTAAATGATGGTAAACCAAAACCAGTTTGTAATGTCACTGGTACACGTTTACGTTCATATGCCGGCACTGGTATTTGAGCAATGTATGCGTTGTTCGCCGTAAAACTTAATTTTGGTTCATTTAAATCTACAACAGACGTATTTGTTACCTGAATATTTGAATTAGATAAACCACTCTTCGTTAAAGAATTTAAATAATGACGAAACGGTAAAATTCCTCTTTGTTTTGGTGGTTCTTGTTGTGTGACATTGCTGATATTCTCTGTTTGTGGTCGTTGTCTAGCTGATCGACAAATGGATGTTTTTGTTTCTTTATAAGATGATTGTTGTTGAATATCAAATGAGTCAATAGTTTTGATTGTTTGTCTCGATTTGGCACTAGTCACATACAAATCACGCGGTTTAGGAGCAGGTAGAACAGCAGCTGTAGTTGTTTTTGGTCGTACTTGTGGGTTAAATGCAAAAATACTATTTTCATTCAGTTGTTGTTTAAAACGTGTTCGTTTCACTACTTTATCCATATCAATAATTTTAAATTTCAGTCTATATTGAGAATAATCAAATGTTTTTTTATGACTCTCTTCAATGTTCTTCTCCGGTTTATGTAGTGAATTAAGTGTCTCATTGATATGTGACACATAGCGTCGTTCTGGACGTCTTAATTGTAGTTGTGGTGGTGGTAGTGGGGGTGGAAGAGTAGTGGGTACGACATAATCAGCATTATCTAATGCATGTTCGTTAATAATTTGTTGCATATTAAGCATAGGTTTTTTCTGTTCTTCTTCTTCTTCAATTAATGTAATATCAATTGGTTGTAAAGATTTTTGTTCTTCTTGAAATTTTAATTCACGTGTTTTTATACGTTCTTGATAAGATTTATGAATTTTTTCTAAACGTTTTTTTAATCGACGTTGTAAATATTTTTTTATACTTGGACGTACTTCATCACTACTCAAATCAATTAAATCAACAAGATCCATCATACCTAAATCATAGGCTAACTGACGACATGATAAATAACGATAACGAACAGGATAACGAGTTTTTGGACGAAATTCCTACATAAACATAAATATAAATACTAAAATAGAGATATAATAATCAAACATTATTTTACTTACAATGAGATCTGTTGCATAATTAACATCGATTCCTTGATCAATAAGATATTCTGCAACATTTTCACGACGTGATCGAATCGCAGCCATTAACAATGATTCAGCAAACTAGAATAGTCTCAGAAATAGACGTAGATATGCAACAGTTACAGTTTTTTACCAGTTAACTGTAATTGTGAAAACTGTAACTATCATAACTGTGTAACTGTAAAAACTGTAGCTGTCATAACTGTAACTGTGAAAATTGTAACTATTCATAACTGTAGGTTAATATTCTAGCGTGAGTTAGTCTTGTACAATTTGCATACATTTTAAGATGCAAATCGTACAAGACTAACTCACTCTAGAATATTAACCTACAGTTATGAACAGTTATAATTTTCACAGTTACAGTTATGACAGCTACAGTTTTATAGTTTTGCAGTTAGCTGTAATTTGTGCATGCCTAAATAGACGTATTCAGAAGTTATAAAAAAAAATTTACTCGTGTTATGTTCATATCCGTTTGCGAAGCATCAAATAATTCTTCTAACCGATCAATGGAACCACTTTCAACGGCTGTAAAAAGCTCCTGAAACAAATATTTATTTATTCAAATTGGATTTAGTTAGAATAACTAAGTTATGCATATACTTTCAATGTATCCTCATTTGATCCAGTGTATTCATCTTCTACGCCAAAATCACCGACGTCCTACAATATAACATTGAATAGCAAAAAAAAGAACTCGAGTAAATATTACTTACATTTTCAAGTAATGGATTTTCTAACTCGTCCGATTCATTTTCCTCACCAATCACGGTCACTTTTCGTTTTTCAGATAATAAATTTTCCATATGTCTATCATTATTATCATTTAAATATGATAGTAAACGACGTGTGGTATTTTCTAAATTACATATAAAATCAATGAGTGAATGAACCATCTCTGAGATTTATCGAAAAACGAATAGATTTTCAATCATGGAAAACGACAGAAGAAAACTTATTATTTATAATGAAGAAGTAAAAATAATATCAAATCATTTAAAGGTTGGGTACTAAGTTTTGATCCTCTCTGTAATAGACGTCATGTATAGGCCCGCAAAAGTTCAGCGTTCCCTTTTTAGTGTTCTCTTTGAACGTAACGCTAAAGCACGTTGGCGTTCCTTGAATGTGAACGCTAAACATGACGCTTTTGGAACGTGAACGCGAATGTCCTGATGAACGTTAACGTTATTTTATATGAACGGTGTTGATCTTGTCTGAAATGAATAGTATTGCAAAACGTTATATAGAAATTTCACCTTATAGTATACCAAGTGAAACAACTTTCTCCATTACCAGTTATATTTAGTGAAAAATCAACGCTGAGACTTGAGATTCCGTCTTGATTGAACAGAAATTGAAATGCCCCAAAACTTTCAAAAAATAAAAAATTTTCTGACGACGATTTTGAATTTTGAACTGAAACTACGGAAAATATGGAAATAACGATAGAAAATTTGCGTAATAGCCATCCGATAGAGAATTCCAAGAGCTACATTTAGGCCCATCCAATGTGAGTATAATGCACACATTCAAACTTATACTGACGAAATACAGTTTTTCGAGTTATATTTTTGAAAGTTTTGGGACATTTCGACTTCTGTTGAACTGAAACGAAATCTCAAGTCTCAGGATCATCTCCTATATATCATTTTGTAGACAATTAAATGGTGAATCTTTTGCAAAAAAACAGCTGAATTTTATTCTATGTATTTCATATAGATAACGTCAGTTTACAGAGAGGGTCAAAATTTAGTATCCACCCTTTATCGTTTAATTGTCGATCTCAAAAAAAGTAGATATTTTGATCATCATCTATCTATCCGACTAAGAGAATCTAAAAAATTCAAATGTTTTTTACTCTTACCGTTCATTATGTTAATAATCAATGATTATTTCTCTTATTTACTGTTAATAGGTCGTGTTTTTATTATTTTGCTGTAGGTATGAATTATTTGTTTGACATTTGTTAGCTTTCTTTTTTTGCCTTCTTTTCTCATGTTTGTATTTATATGCCTCTTTTTTTTATGTCAAATAATACGATCAATTTAATGTCTTTTAACGTTCGTTTCTTTTTTATTAGGTATATTACATTTAATTTTTACGTGATTTCAAGGCGAAATAGAAATGAAATAAATTTTTTTATGATTTTTATTTGTTAACTGTTTATTTTATCCAAAAGAAAGAAAAAAGAAAAGAAAAAAATGCACATACAGGATGTTTCAAAAGTCACTATCAGATAAAAAAAATTAAATATCTCTGCAAATTTTTAACTCAATTCACCTTTTTTTGTTTTTTTCTTTTTAATTGAATGAAAGTATTTAAATTTATTTGTAGAACCATTTAACAAAGTAAAATGGTTGAAACACAGAATAGATTTCCTTAAAAAAATATCTTAATTTTTTAGAAACTGCAAATATATCAACATTTAAACACTGAAAACGCTGTCTAAACATTGTCTAATGCTTGGCAACTGATTTCGCTCAGTATTTAAATATTTTCACACAAATAAAGAAATCGTGCTTTTTGTGTAGCATGCGGTCATTGTTATAAGAAGAGATTTGTTTTTTACGATTAAACTACTTATTTTTAATGCCATTACAGTGAAAATTATCAGATTTGCGAAACGGGAAATATTTTAATTGTGAATGGAGAATTTCTAAAAGGAAAAAACTAAGATTTGATTGAAAATACGAGATTTAATTTTTATAAAAACAATGAACAAAATGTTGTTCGTAAAAGTCTGAAATATAATGCAGATCCATGTATATATCCCCTTGGAAAAAAATAGTTTCAGTCGTATTTTGAATTTATTATGAATATTCAAATACATTTTAAAAAAATAATTGGATATTCTGATAGCGCTTGAAATTCTCTATTAATCTCTGTTTTTCCAGTCTGGACTTGAAATTGTTTGCTAACAAATATTTTGAATATTGTTAATGCACTCCATCTATCACATTCCCAGGAATTTCATTTTATCCTCCTTCAACTAAGTCGGGCATGTGCTTTTGAGAATGTGAATGATAATTCTGTGTATAATGTAAACCCCACATTCTCAATAGCAATAGGACTCGCGGCTGAATTATCCACATAGGTTTACGACTCAACTAACGGGTCATTCCGAGTCAAGCAATCCCACTAGGATCCTACAAGGTCCTATAAGATCTTACTGGTAATAGGATTCCTTTTGTAGAGTCCTATGAAATCGTACGGCAGAAAATCTGTAGGATTCTTAATATAGGACGGTGGCAAAAATCCTATAGGATTTCTGTAATAGGAATCTTATACATTTCTTACAAAATCTTACGGTAAGATTTTGTATAGGATTCCTATTTTTTCGTTCTGTATATATTTTCTTTTCTTTTTATATACGAGGACACAATCACCAACGTGTTTTGTAGTAATTCTAATATAAATACAACTCTATTGCAGAAAATGAAAAATTCTTTTAGGACTAAATTTTCGCACCAAATACTGTGAGCCATCGAAACGCGCTGTTGTTCGACGACTCACAATCTTGGCCTTATACCAGCTCAGAATCACCTGATTCTGACTAACTCAGAGAATAATTAAAGTTTAATTATTCTATTTATTTTTATGTTGTTGTTATGTTTAATGTTTTTATATGTTTAATTATTAAACATATAAAACATTAAACCTAGTAGGATAAACCAGCAGAAAGTCAGACAAAATCCTACTGTAATTCTGCAATAGGATCCTGTAGGATCTTGCAAGATCTGACTACACGATCCTATAAGAATCTGACAGCAGGATTTTTCCACTTTAAGGTTTTTCTGTTTTTCTACAAAGCTCTACAAGATTTCGTAGGATCGTGTAAGAATCTTGTAGGATCCTACGGTAAGACAGAGATGCAACCGGTCAACAAAGCTGTAATCGGTACCGGCATCGGGCATATACCTGTTGACCAGACCGACCAGTCCACCGCGCTGCCTGATTGATCGATACTCAGATTTTCCAAGAACTCTAAGAAGATGGTAAAAATTATGAATATTTCAAGCAGAGAATAATGAATGCAATTATTTTCTTTTTCTCTGAACATCGGTTTCTTCTGAACATTGGAAAGTACAATTAAACTATGGTAAAAAATGGAGCAAATCTGGAAAAGCCAATTGTAGAATGCAATAGCCTCTGACGTCGTGAAAGTCATTATGACCACAATCCGTTGTGATAAGAAGAGCGTTCTATTAAAACGCTCTTCTTACCACAGCGGATTGTCTGCGCAATTTTTTGTCCGAACGAAATAGTTACATTCCAATGAGCCAACCGTATTTCGGTGACTTTTAGTGTAGGATGCTCTCTAATACTTTTAACAATAAACAAATTTCCGGGCAAGATCAGCACTTCTCGTTCTTGTGTGAACTTGGAAATATCGTGAATGGCGAAGATCGTCGAACATACTGCATCAATGTCGAAGACGAACAAAACCGATTGATGCCCTTCTTCTCTGTCATGCTTAGCAAATTCGAGTGCCACCCACGGATCTTGCGATGTCGATGTGAATGCTTTTAAACCGATCACACCCGGTGGAACATTGGTGTAAGCATGCTGATAAATGGCCAGGTCACGCTCGGTCATCGTTGCACCCCGGTAGACGGTTCCAGTGAAAGCGCGCTGCTTCAGCTGATTGCGGTGCAAAAAAAATTCGATAATGAATCGATCACACAGGTGCGGGCTCAATGCAGCATCGGTTGATGAATGAGCTAATTGGCGATTGAGCGGGCTATAAAATCCTTCGTCGGTGTACAACGTAATCAAGGGTTCAATGGAATTACGTCGTTTCGATTCGTTGACCGATTTGATGGTTTGCTGATACTTGGTTTCATCAGGCAGATTTCGCTGTAGAAATTGTTGAAAATCTGGATGTTTGTTCAAATCAAACGCATCGATATGGAAATCCTCGCGTTCAAGAAATGGGCGAAACGTGTGCGAGAGCCAGTTGTAAAATTTGACCCACATAACGGTCGTTTCTTGATTCAAAGAAAATTCGAGTATTTCATCGCGGGTTTTAAATACATGAATATAGTCGAGTAACGGCGATGGTTCATGTTCGGTATTGATTGCCTCCAGATCGGTGGTTGCATTTTCCGGCATGTAGACAGCGAAGGTATTTGAGGGATCGGTCTCATAGAAACGATTTGTCATAGTACGTTCAAACAGCTGCCTCATCTCATCAGTTCGAGCTTCTTCATAGGCCATTTTCCCGTAACAATTCAAAATTGTTCGACAGCAGTCACTGTCCAGCAACAACTGAACAATTTCTTTATGATCGTAATAGGTGGCCGCATGTAAGGGAGTGCTACCGTTGGGCTGAAGAACATTCAGATCTTCGGTGATTTCGGCTAGTTGTAATCTAACATAGTCAACATTACCATTGCGACAAGCGAAGTAGAATTCATTTGCTCTGCCCGGAATGACCTTCATCGACAGCGCGTGATCATATTTACGGTGGCATAAATCATCAAAAGGACATGGCGGTTTACTATTACTATTGCCCATAGTGGTAAGGAAAAGAAATGATCTAGATCATAAATAAAAACAGTTTACACTTTTTGAAAAGAGACAATGTACAAGTGGCGGTCGTTGAAGCACGCAAGATGATTAGAGTTCTATAAGTACGTCTAATCGATTGAAAAGAACAACTTTTTGTAACGCTACTTCCCCTATCGAAATCATATGTAGACCCTGACGACGCTGCTTAAAACGACACTAGAGGTGTCCGGTCAGTTCTGACGGCCAGTTGATGTGTCTCTAAATATCCTTCTATATTAGAAGGCAATCATGATGGAACATCAACCTGGAGTAAGAATTAGAGCAGTTTTCACAAAAATGGGCAGAACCATCATAGAAGCCATGCCATTCTACACCAAGGAGTTGACATATTCACATTAAGCTGAGATGACTCCTAAAACTGACGATTGCGGCAAAGAAATGAAATTTTCGAGAAAAAACATATTTATCATATAACGCTTACATTCAAACTTACCGGGTTGTATAAAAAACAGATAAATATAACATATTAATCCTGCTCTTTGCTCGATCCATAGCGGAGGCTCTTTTACGCATAACTTGTTAGTTACTCTCTTGTAGATTAAAGTAACTCGAAAACTGATCAATTATTACTTCTAAAAAACGAAGCGTGTTTAAGTTTGTTATTTTATTACGAGATATAAGAGGAACAGATTCATTGAATGTCAATGGATGCATATGATAATAGTTTTACTTAATGAGTAGAATGTTTTTCAACAAAATCCACGATATAATGCGCTACTTCTTCTGGTTTATCGATCGCTAAGAAATGGCCGCAATCGTCGAGGATGACTACTTCAGATTCTGGAATCAGTTTTTTAAAATAGTACGCTCCATGATATGTGTAGAGCTAAATAAGAAATGTTTTGGCAGCCATTTTAAAAGAATCTGTATTGCTTCTTACTTTGTCTTCATGTCCCCATAAAATCAACGCTGGACACTTCATCATTTTCAGACTACTGTAATATTTTTCTAGATTTGGATAATCATATTCCAGGAGTGATTTTAACACTAAATAAAAAACTTCAGACTAACTTTGTTTTCTAATGAGCATTAGTGTGGACAAAGTGTCTAAAGACGAATTGACGAATCGCAATTTTTGGGCGTAAAAATGATGCAACAATTCGCATTTTACCATTGTTTTGCGAATTCGTAGCGAATTCGTAATTCAATGCGA